GTTCTTGAGGTCCATGAAGACTGCCTACAATTTCATTTCTGGATGGAAATGGAAAAAAGGTTTTGGTAGCATCTATTTTCTTTCTTTTTTACTGCATGGACTGTTGAAAAATACACTTGGTGTCTTAGCTCTCAGTTTTCCTATATCCTCTCTTTGAAGTCTTTCCTGTCTTTTTGACTTTTTCCATAACCAAATGGAGTTTCTTCTTTGCAGTTACAGGGTCTTTAACTGTAGCCTACCTCGTCACAGACCTGTGTCATTACAGTTTTCTCAACACTTCCAGTCTCACCTCTTGTGCTTCTTTCATATTTTCAAGCTGTTTGGTTTGCACTTTGTAAATATGAACATCTGCCAAATGCCTTCCCTCTGCAAAACATCTTATCCCAGAAACCATTTCCCTTTTTTATGCTTAATGCCAGTCCCTTTGTGCTCAGTTGCTTGTGTTATCTTCTGCATTGTTTCCTGTTCTTTATTCTTCATTCTGTCTTCATTTTGAAGTTAATGTCCCAATAGAGGTGAGTCACTACAAACAGGAGAGCTGAAATCCATCAAGTCCAAACCTGCCAACTCCTTCCATTATGGCAAAGCAAGGCTCACTAAACTGTACCTGATCTCACCCACTGGGGTAGGACTTTAGACTCTAATGTGTGTGCATTCATTTAGACTTGTCTCAGCTTTCTGCCTGTTATATATCTCTGCATACATGCAGAAATTTAAGGTTAGCTTAGCCACTCCTTTTCTATACCCTCCTCCCCCCCAAAATAAATATGTTTTTTACAGATCTTAAAAGCCGATCTAATCTTTTGCTTGAATGCTTGTCTCTCTGTGAAAGACATCTAACATTTTAATATTTCTCAGGAAACAAATGTGTCCAGTGTAACTTATTTACAGTGTTTTCCTTCATATCATAGTCTTTTTACTTCAAAAAAATAAAGCACTATAAAACATAATCACCCCAGTACAGTTTATACTTAATTGGTTCTTTTTTCTTTTACTTCACAGATATGAGCAGGGGCAGAGCTGCACCAGAAGAGAGGCGAGCCATGACACAAGGATGATGGCAGGGAGGGACCTCCCTGACAGGGGCATAGTCCCACGCCAGCAATCAAGAAGAGCAGAGCTGGTCCAGCCCAGGGTCAGCCACAAACTGGAGACCTCCAGAGCAGCCTATAGCAATGAGGGAGGTCTGAAGTCAAGCCAAGAGGCCAAACCAGTGAAGCAAGGTCAGCAAAGCCAGGTATGACATAGCACAACTTCAGCACTGTTCAGACAGAGGCCTGGGTCGTTTGTACCTCACAAAATGCCACTAGGTTTTGGGAGGGAGGATTTCTTGTGTTTCTGTAGGGACATTATTACCCTGATCACACTTCATCTTTTTCATTAAAATAGAAACTGAGGCAATACAATATGTTTAGTATTTTATGCATACCTCTGTCATCTACTTACTTCCCTAAGGTACCTCTGATTCCAGTCCAGTGCTTGTGTTAACATGACCTTTTTCCCATTCTGTGTAATTTCTTTTTAATGACAATAGAGGGCTCTTAACACAACCAATTTTGATTTCATATTATTTATCATAGGGAAAGTTTTCTTTTGAACCTGTACTACCATCTCTTCCAGTAATTACTAACTCCCTTATACTTCTTTATTCCTGTATTTTTCCAAAGAGATGTTTTGAGTTCTACCTGTTCATTGAAGTTTTGTTGAATATGAATGCAGTACAAATGTTCGTTCTGTGGAAGGATTCCCACTACTGGGGATCTAAGTACAAATATCAGCAGTTTATTATTCTGTCTAAAGGGTCATACCCATGGAATTATGGAGGAAGAGAAATAAACTTAATAGCCTCAGTTTCTAGAGCCTGTATAGCAGTACCAAATTTGGTGACAACATTGTTTTATAGCAGGTTTACTCTGACGTATTACACGTCTAGTTAGTATATAAAAAATCAAGTAAAAACACATAGATCTTAATAATAATTTTAAAAATGCCATTCATTTGAACAAGTCAGTCCATTTGCACTCAGACTCTATTGTTTAAATACTATCAGGCCCAAATTTAGTTGAAGAAATATATTTACAGATTTCAGTTAGGGATTTGGATTGGATGACTTGGATTTCCAAGTTATTTAACAATATCTGAGGCACTTAGCTAAAAGCAGAGTAGTACAAGAAGAAGCATGGATGGAATTTAGGCTCAAAAAGATGATGAATATGTGGGGATTATAAGTGAGTAGGAATAATGTGTTCAGGAACAGGTTTTCATACCCTACATGCAGGGTATAAAAACACACTAGACTCTGGAAACATAGTGCCTTACTTGTGACAAAAGATAATTGATTTTAACTCATTTTGAAAGTGGAAGGCGTATACTTATTTGTTTTTTCATTGATTAAATGATAACTGTATCAGTAGTGCGTTGAGGTCTGTGGTCTTCTGAGCTGTGGGTTGTAATTCACGAATGCTTCTGGTTCTAAGGACAGCGAATTGCTAAGACAAGCAAGTGGTGCCAAGATCTCTGTACTGATCTTATATAATAAAAATAGGAGCGTAACTAAGTACCAGATACTCTTGCTTTTGAATCAGTCACTTAGTGCTGATGAAAAAGTCAATTGGATATGTCCTGAAAAGTCCGCTTGTGAGCATTCTGGGCATGTACAGTAGAAGAAGAAGAAACCTAGGTCTGCTCCTGCATTTATTGAAATAAATCAGTTGTTAGAGCACGTCTTGCCTTGAACAGATATCAAAAAGACTTGGAGAGGGTTAAGGTAGGTCAGATTCTAAACCAGTCCTAAATAGCTGCTAATGCGAGGTTTCCTGTGTTCACAAAATGAGAGGAAATAAGAGCATCTCTTGAATACAACTCAGTTTGGTAAGCCTTGGATTTTTATGGTTAAACTCTCAGCTACCAATTGAAGGTACGTTGATGTCTAAATGGCTGTGTGGTTTTGAATCATGTAACCAAATAGGTGGATTTCTCACTATTGCTACTGAATTACAACAACAAAAAAGAAAGAGGAAAAAACAGTAAATTAAATAATTCTCTAATCGTGGCAAGAATCATCAGGAATCTGGAGGATGAGATCTCTTCAGTGACATTGGATTACAAATATGCATTTTAAGTAGAGGAAATGGGGAAAATGTTGACGGCTGTATTTTCAACTACAAAGTGTACTCCTAGCAATATTGGAATACGTCATGAAATCCTGTCAGCTTGTACAAATTTCTCTGCCTTTTCTCTATATCCTTTCAGTTCCTCCCCCACAGGCTAATTACTTCATAAGAAACTGTTTGCAGAATGAAATGTTGCTTTTTTAAAATACTTTTTTTCTTTCACCATTTTACACTTTATGTTATGCATACTTCAGTGTCAGTGGGATGTTTTTGTTGCAGCATTCAGAGAACATTCTGAAATTCAGATTTAAAAAAGCAAACTTTATAGTTTTGAAATAGTCTTTAAAGCGTAACTTCTGCGTTTAGCACAGGTGAATGTCTAGGGAAGGCAAACCATTTAATGGATTATACTTCAGCATCCTTGCATAAAAGTAAAATGCTAAGGCTGTCTTGAGAATCACCACCTTGAGCCAGACAAACACTTGGGGACATTTTTATGCCTTCCTGGCATTTATTTTGAGCACGTTTTTCAGTGCTTTGCTGAACTGGGATGAATGCAAGCATACACATATATAAATATATTCTCAACAGTTTGATGAATCATTCAGAAGCACAGGAAGATACAGGTTAGAAGGGACCTCTGAAAGTGATTTGATCCTTACCTTTAATCAGAAAACATCTTTGGCAAAAGCTTTTTGGGAAAGAAAAAAGAAATACTGCAAAAAGAAATTGTCTCAATTATTAGCACATTAAATGTCACTCAACAACCAATACATGACATGACCTGCATGTCATGAAGCAGCGAACAGGGTTTATCCATTTAATTTGGTTTTTAAAGAGCATAGTTTTACATGACAAAATACATGATTCAAATTGTATTTCTTGTTGCGGTGAAACAATCTATCTTTCAGAGATTTCGTAGTTGTTCAGATCTAGAACCCAAAAGCAGAACAGATTATGTTATCAGACCCTGGATATTTTTCACCAGAAATCTCTGCATTTGAATCACACATATATGAGCTGTGCCATAAGCAAATGACAGTCCAGATAGAGCCGTATATGGTTTAGCTTTTTGCGTAAGAATGGGGAGACATAGCTATAATCTTCAGGAATCCAGACAAGCCAAACTTGGACAGGTAAAATGGGTCTCATTTTCTTAATGTACAAGTGAAGGAAAAAGGACTGGATGGAAGAGATGCAGGAGCTGTGGAATACCTAGGATTCCATAAACCCTTTGTAATAGGGTTTTCAACAGAGCACAGCAGGGCAAGGCATCCATATTTTATTAGATCCTTTGAAAACACCAGCCTAGCTATAATGCATTGTAAACAAAAAAACTGCAAAATCAGAGTTTTTGCTGTGGCTTTTTCCTACATTACTTCTTGAATATTTTCCTTATTTTATGGTAGCTCAAAAAGGTACAAAGTTTGTGGCAGCACACCTTGAAAAGTTGTCAGTTTTCCTTGACTCTGTAAAGCTGTCAAGATTGGAAAGGTACTCGAGTTTACTTGAAGGACTGCAGTTAGATGAACAAGGATGCCTCCTAAGCACTAGGAAATGACCTTACTTGGTAATTGGTACCCAGAAATCCTCACAGGCTAACACACGGTGATGATCTAATCTTGTGGCAGATCTGCGAAGGCTGATCCTTCCCCTAACCTGCATGCCTCCTTGATTTCAGGAGCCTCACTGAGATGCTTCAGGGGTTCCTTTTGCATGTGTTGAGCTCTGTCAGACTGAAGAGGCCCTAACAGCATTTTCTCTCCTGCTACTATTAAGTATGATTTATACCCCCCCAAATGATAAACAAAACCAAATTGAGATAACCATAAAAAACATAACACAAATGCCATTTTTCATCATTTATTTCTCAAATTTTCACTCCTATTTATTTCTCAAGCTGCAACAACAATTAATATCACGGAATTAACAAGAAGGAAGGAACCAGAAAAGTGAGTGAAGAGAATGTGACTGAAGATGCTTTTGCCATTTGGAAGGGACTGGTTGGTGTTCAGAAAGTCCAAGTGGAAGAATATGAGTACAACCACATGAAGACCTAGGAACAGGTAAGCTAGGTTCAAATTTTCAGACTGTATCTCCAATATTTGAGTTACTAAGTGTAATGGAGTAACAAATTGACCAGTTCTAGGAACAGGCTTATGCTTCACCGAAGCACCTAAAAGCATAGTACCAAGAGTCCATTACTAAACAGAAACAAAGTACAATGGATTTATTGGATTAGTTTGGCTTTTAGTGGAGGACTTTTTTTATAAATTTCATTAGGAGGTGTTTTGGCCTACAGATAAACATATTTCTTAATGCAACAGTATATAAATATATTCTAAGGGAATAGTTTGGTCTGGGTGCCGCGAGGACCAGGTGCTCCCCACAGAGGCTGAGGGGTGTTGTGGGGCTGGCAGGGCAGGCTTCTCACCAGCCAGGGCCTTTCCCACTGCCCCCAGTCAGGGAGCTGGATGTGAAGCCAGGTTTGGCTGAGAGTCCATATCATTAGAGAAGTTTATGGTAATGAGGCAGGTCTATCAGGCTGGGAAGTCAGTCTGCAGGTTGGGGTTAGTGCCTGGACCGCTCGGGCCCATGCCAGGCCCAGGCAGTGCTGCGATGCAGTGAGTGCCGTGGTTTCAGTGAAGGATGAACACTGGCAGTGTCAGAGCAGCTCCCGGTGCTGGCTGTGGTGTCCCACAGCTGTCTGAGAGCCTTTCTTCAGGGTCACCATTAGGAAGGGGGATGCCTTTGGCTGCATGGCTTGGAGCTGTCCTGAGCCCCAGCAGTCAAAACCCAAGGAAGGGGCATGTGCTCAGGGCCCTGCCAAGTCTCATGATCCCTGCCACTATCCAGCTCCATGGTCTAGCTGGATGCTACACCAGCAGTGATATTTTTGTTGTATGATATCAGAAGAAAGTTGTAGGCATTAGTAACAACTAGCCTTACAAGCTGAAATGTTACTATAAATATTGTTCAAACAACTCTGTTTCAGCCACTCTGAGAAATTCATAGAAGCAAATGAAGGAATGTTCTCCTCTCCATTGGTGAGTGTCAGGTATAATTGTGTCAGGGTACATAATTACATAGTTCTCTTTTTCCCTTATTTTGCAATAAAGGGAAGGTAATCCCATTTTAATCAGGTCTTTGCTGCAGCTCAGTTCATGAGCGGTGAGTCATCACTCACTGCAGGGGGGTTGTCCCTGGCTTAAGCTGTTGACAAAGAAGGCTGAATTTTGCTTTCTTCTTGTATTAAAGTTCAGGTAGTATGCAAGTTGCTTATCTTTTTCCAAACAGAAACACCTTGACATTTTTTATTTTGTTAGAAATCCCTTACAGAACATGAATTTCACATCCCAGTAAAGAAATTCTGCTAGGCATTTATCTTTTAGAGAGTTCATAGCATGTTTCACTTAATCTCATCATTGCAGGGCTCTTCGAGATCCTCCATCATTAAATCTTGCTGGTTATTCACCCAATTTCCTTTCCGAACTGGCTTCCCCTCCACCTTGGCATGTTGACAATCTTGGGGTGTCTGGTAGGTGGCAGCTGGCAAAATGGCATTGCTTTGGCCTCGCTGGGAATAGATGTCCCTGTGAATGATCTTCCTAGAGCAGAGCTGAAGTTTAAAGGCTGCCTGAAAGCCTCTGCGAAAGTTTTCATTAAAGAAACCATAGATGATGGGGTTGATGCTGCTGTTGAAAAAGGCCAGCCAGTGAGCAAAAGGATAGATATAAATGTTGATGATCTGCAACTGGACATCTGACAGGTTGGCGTAGTCTGAGAGCATCATCAGAGTCCACAGGGGAAGCCAAGACAGGGTGAAAAGCAAAGCTACGATAATGAGCATTTTTATGACTTTTTGTTTCTTCTTAGACACGCTGTGTCGCTGCTCCTGGCTGTGCTTTCCCACTGTGGGCATTGCTGTGTTAAAGAGAGCAATGCCTATCCTAGCATACATGATAACAATGAGCAACAGGGGAGCAAGATAGATATTGGCAAACAGAACCGTTGTATAGATCTTTCTCATTCCTGCATTAGGCCAGTTCTCCCGGCACCAATATACAGGGCGGGTTTCATTGCCATAGCCAAGGATCACCCTGAAATGCTTCTCTTCTTGTACCTGCAACATGACTGCAGAAGGACACATGATTGTGATGGCCAGAATCCAGATGACTGTTATAATAATGATTGCAGTTGAGATGGTCAGTTTCTGTTTAAATGGATAAACGATGCATCGAAACCTGCAGCAAAGACACCCAGGGGCATATATGGAGAAGATGTTTAGAGAAAGCTTAATTAAACAGGCAAACACATACATGGTTTAAAAATCACATTTTTTTTTTTAGAAGTATGGGTGGAATCATCCTGCATAAACCAGTGGAGTTGCACTTAATTGTTCCATTTAAGTGTTTTGTTGAGAAAAACAATCTAAAAAAAAAAAAGAGTCAAATTTATTGTTAAAATTTCTTTGCTATGATCTGTCTCCTTATCAGACTGCTGCTGCTGCTTCAGGTAACTGTGGCAGCAGGTATCAGTGCTTCTGTTACCTTTTCTATTAGCTTAGTAGCTGGGGAGCTAACCAACTCTAGGCAGCCAGGTATAGTCCAGGTGTACCATTTTTAAGAGATACCTGTTGAGGAACAAATTGCCGAAACTGCTCTTTAGACCTTGGCACACTTTTTTTTTTTTTTTTTTTTTTTTTTTTTTTTTTTCCTTCTAGATTTAGGAGCTAAACCAATTTAATCTATTGCAGGGTTGCATGGATTAATGAATCCACCTCAGTATGATAGTGTGGCCTGAGGAAGATGGAAGTGACAGTTTGCCATTTCTGCATCATCTTACCTGTCTACAGCAATTGCAACCAGAGTGAAGACAGAGGCAGAGACAGAGATTCCTTGGACCATCCCACTCATCTTGCAAACCATGCTCCCAAATGGCCATCCTGGAAGGAAACAGGCTATTGAAATTGCCTCCATTTCATTGCAGCACTTTTCTTATATGCATAAAAGGAAATTTTTGCCCCAGAACTAATACATTTATTTTGCTTTGGCAGGACATAGTAGGAGTTAGTGAGTCAAAAGTTATGTAAAAAAATGCTTTGCCAGATGCCTAGGTAAGTTTCTGATGTCCCAAAAAGCAGCAAAACATGTTGCTTTTCAACATCACATTAAAATGAGATGTCAAGATAAGAAAGGGGCTTGACCACTACAGTTGATTGCTCTCTTCATGTGGCTCATAGCATCCACTGAGTCTTCTTAACATATAACCTAGTTGTGGGATAATCCATTGCTAAAGATCCTGGTTGTGGAAATCAGCAAGGACAGCCCCAGTCAGAAGGTGTGTTAGAGGTTTGTCTTCCTCACCTGTTCCACCCCCTAACTTGAACTGCCTATGGAGCTCACTCAGAAATGGTAGTGTTCAAGTGGGGCTAGTGATTTCTCGGTTTAAGGTGAGCTTCATGCTCTGTCACTAAACACATTGCATAGTGAACCCCTTGAGCCCAACCTGCAAAATGAGGCCTTCACATTTGCCCCTAGCTTTCTCACTGGGGCTTCGATTCTGAATGCCAGGGACAGAGTAAAAGACCAATTTGTATTGGTCACTGTCACATGCACTTAACACTTGGGTTCCTCAGGGAGGACTCAGAAATTAAGGCAAATCCCCCTCAAGCCCTTTTTGCTATACGGTGTGAACTGGCATACCTGCAATGATGTTGTCCAGGAGGGTGGTGGGCATACAGAAGATTCCCACTAGTAAATCACTGACAGCCAGGTTTAAGATGAAAAGATTTGTGACTGTACGCATGTGTTTGCTCTGCAGAACAATATAGCAAACCACTCCGTTGCCAACCATACAAAGCAGGAAGATTAAGAGGTATGAGATGATGAAGACAGCTGCCACTGAAGGCTGATGAAGGTAGAAGTCCACATAGGAGACGTTGCCTTCAAAGTAGAGGTACTTGTATGTCCCATTATAACTCAGCAGGTGAGGCCAATCAAATGAAGAATTTAAGTCCATTTTCTTACTCATGTTGTAATGTTCCTAGAAAGATATTTTTGAAAAGGTCGTTATAGTATGTTTGAAATGGATTTGAGGAAATGTGACTACTTTGGAAATGCAGTGTGCTGAAATTCATGCAAAGCTGTATGTATACTCATCTCTCTGCACCTTACTCTAATGGTCCACGTTCTGCATCCCCATCTTCCCCAGATACTATTAGTTTGATTTTTACAATGCAGGCATATAAAAATGAACAGTGAGACTACTAAAGTTTTTTTTTTTTTTTTCTTTCTGCAATCTCCATAAATGAAGTCCTTCCCTTCACAAAGAAAAAGAAAGCCAGATAGGATGTAAACAAGCCTATTGTGATGCATCAAGTAAACAAAGAAACAACCTAAGCAGTATATTTTAAGGAGAAAAAAAAAATCAGAATTCTTGAGAAATCCATTTATTCAACAGCTTGAGTAATCTAATGCTTAGGGGACAGTGAGGCTGCTGAGCCATTAAGAACAGTAATTAAATTAAAGCTTTCAGAAGGCACCAACTTTCTGCCTGAATGTATCCAAATCCAGTCCCATTTAACTGACAAGGAGATATATTTATGTGTACAACTGATACTAGGCCACAACTGATTTTGCTTTCCTGCTTACAATCTAAGTAGATCAGGAGAAAAGTCGGGAAACACAGAATACTACTGTGCTTAAAATGTACTGAAGCATAAGATTTGTTTTCTAGCTCTGCTGCTGAATTTGTATGATTTGAGGGAATTCATTATCTATTCATGTTGTGGTTTAATCATTAAAAAGCCTGGGTAATACTTTTCCCACATTTGGTATTCACTCTGTAAAGAAAATACCGTATTAGATTCGAGTATTACATTGCAGTTGGCAAAATCTACAGGTTTTTTCCTGGAGACACTTATTTTGAGGTCTGAACTCTCTTGAAATTGGTATTTTCTCTGTTTCAAGCCACAAGTATCTGTATCTTTTGTGTTGTAGTAGCAATGTTTTTACTGGTGGGATGGTTCAAAGATAAGGGGTATAAGACTCTTCATTAGACCACTTGGTATTGGTGCAAGAATCACTTTATCAGATACAGAATTTGTGTGCCTTGAACTTACTAACTTCCAAACATAACTCACTGAACTTAACTTTGTAGGCTACTAACTATTTTCTTGCCTTGTAAAACCTATAGCTCTACATGACACCGCACCAAAATTCTAAATCAAGTCTTAACCATGGTAAATTTTTAACATGTTTATTATATATATGCCATATATATATGCCATATTTCTATGCTATATATATGACATAGAAATTGTATCAGCCTCCCGTAAAAATTCAGCACTGGCTTCTTGATGTTTACAGTTGTCACCAGGTAATATAACCTGTAAAAAGCATTTGAATATATTTTTCCACATTTATTTTATCTGCCAGATGGAGACTTTGAAACTTAGGTGAAGGGAGCAGGGAAAATGATCACATTTCCATCTGCTGATGGCTTTTGGATGGCACTTAATTAAAATGGGCTCTGGGGTTACGTTTCTTAAATAGGTGTATTTATATAGATACCTAAAGTGGCAGAAGGAAGGAACTGTCCCTGACTTAAAAGAATAGCAAAACTAACTCCTGGCAAAAGGCACCAAATTAATGTGTGGGAGCAGGTAACTTCAGAACACTTCCCAAAGTCTTCGGTATAAATGGCATTTAAATTGAGGCACAAGGATCCAAATCCTGATGAGGTTGTACATAAGGGAAGCAAAGTGCTGACTTTATCTCTTTTCTTATGAAAGAAAATTCAGAGTGGGCCCTTTTTTGTGCAACTATGGTTTCAGCTGCCTCCCCAGATTCCAAACGCTGAAGGTGGTTTTCCAGAATTTAAGGAGTAACAAAAGAAGGTGATATTCTGCTGTCATTTCTAGTAGAGCAGCCCTCTCCCCAGAAAAAGAAAATGAGTGTTAGGTAACGTTGCCAAAAGGATGAGGTATTTTTCTTCACTCTTCTTGCTGGGTTTTACTTAAAGACTTTCTAATTAAGATTCCGTGTCTGCCTGTTTTTCCCTGGTATATTTATTCACATCTGTTTGCCAGGACAGTACTTCAGTTTTTGTGTGTGTGTGTGTGGTTTTTTTTTTTTTAAATATATATTTTGCTTGTCAATGAAATTCAGCCACATCAAAATCTCTGTAAGTGCTTTACTTCCAGTAGCAAATGCAGTGAAAAAAAATATTTATTCTGGTATGTCCCATGTTTGGAACAAACAGAGTAGTGGGAAAAAAACCAACAACACAACATAATTTTATCATATCTTCTGTCTTTTTAGAAGTCAGTAACAATACAATGTTTACAGTGGGTCTGTATTTTTATATATTCTTTATATTTTTTAACAAATCAGTATATAGAAACTAGTCATACTAGTTGCATGTTCTCTTCGGCTGCTCTTATGCAGAAAGACCGTATTTTTGATTTATTTATTTTTTAGTTTCAAAATAGTTTCAAAACAAATGAAAATGTTTTTATTCAAATATTTAATGTACCCGATGTTTTAACTAGCCAGAGATCAGAGTCAGCTACTGTAGAAGATTTTTTAATGTCAATTTTATTATTCACTTAAGAAAGCAGTTACTAATGAAGTTGCATACAAACATGCCCAAGATGAACAGTGAGAGCAGAATTCGAAAATAAACATTAGGCAATAGCTTACACCATTCATTTAGTCACAGATTTGGAGCTGTGCTTTATAAATCTCAGGAGATGCTATGTCACTGAAATCCCATTTAAAGCTCAGCATCTCTTGTGCTCCCTTTTGGCTCCTGACAAGAAATAGATTTATTGTTGCTCACTTTGCTCCTCTACCCCAGACAGCTTCTTAGGGTAGTAAAGTGCAGGAGGCCAAGCTCTCCATACCCAGGGAGATGATGGAGATGACAGTCTAGATGAGAGGCAGTGGTTATAATATGTGCTTCCTTCACCAGGAAAGGCAGTGGAGTGACCTTTCTGCTTGGCATAGCTATTCTGGGTGAGGCCCAAACACATACCGGCAATCTAAAATGCCAGCATTTGGCCTGTAGCTCTAAGTCATTTATAAGGCTGCCATCAACAGTATTAATCAAGTTAAAAATGCAAGGGTTCTTGGGTTCAGTCACTGTTATCCAATGTCTAGTGCTGAGAATAAGCAAGAGTTTGGTTTAACAGTGGAGGTGTAATAGTTACAGAGCAGACAGTGCCATAATCTGACACTTGGTATTTGTTTGGAGCAAACAAAGCAACAGATGAAGGTCCTGTAGACTAATTGCTCCATTTCACATAGTAAATACAAAAGTGTGAGAAAATGGGAGTTCTACTCTACACGGAGCAAGCACGAGACTAGGTAGGACTAGGACTCTTGGTAGGTGTCACACACAGCTTTTGGGTTTGGCAAACAGCAGCTATCCAATCCCAACCAAAAGTTTGGAAAAAGTCAGGCCCCTTGTCCATTCATATCTAACAAAAATAGATGTGTTTGGCTTCTTTTTTTGTTGTTTTCTCTGAGGTTCTTTGGTCTTTGCAAAACCTTTAGGGTCATTCCTATGCAGTGGCAGGATTTTACTGAATTCAATTGAATTCTGTTCATTAATACAACTGAAAATATCCCTTTTTATATTAAAAGCATAATTTTAGAATGCTTTACATATTAATTATTCTTTGGACGCTTTTCATGGATTTGGTCTCTTTTTGACAATGTGTTTATAAAGCAACCACTTTCAATCGTTTCAGTAAGGAACTCTGGAATAGTTTTTGTTTGTAACTGGTGAACGAGAAATTGCAAACAACCTCAAGGCACAATTGGAGTTGTGCCTATTTGTCTTACAGAGACTGATCACAGTCGCACAAATGAAACTTTGTACCACGGAAGCTGTACCAAATACAATGAACTTGCCATACAAATACTGTGTCTTACAGGAGATAGCAAAGTACACAAATTTTTATTATTTTGAAGCTGAGGGGGATAGGATTGGCTGAAAGAAGAAATGAAGGTAGTGCATTGTGTTTTAACAAGCTAAACAGACAGTGATAAATAATTGAGCAAGGTACAGAAGATGGCAGCACAAGTCATCCAAGAGAAGGGAAAAAGTAATGTAATGCATAAATATCATATGATGATAAATAAAAGCAATTTGCTTCCACATGGTAATTTGATAAGGGCACAGCCTCAGTACTTTATTTAATACGCCAGAGGAAAATGTGCAAAAAAATAAAGCAAGAGCCTCAACTATTGAAAAACTGCCCACGCGTTGTTTTTAAAACATGCTAGACCGGTAACTAGTTATAATGTCCATAGACAAATATGCAGGATTAAGTCTGTGCAACCAGGAGAGTCTTATGCCATCAAATATGGAAAATTAATTTTCCTGTGTAACAATAACAATTCAAGGTAATTATGAAGCCCGTGTAATTACTTTTACATTGGCCACACAAGAATTCTGGCAACCATGGGAGCCAGACAATACTGTTTCACCTCTGTGTACAACCATTTGTTTCTGTTATCCTAATTTGTGCATGTGTGAAATCTCATCACAGAATCCTCTGAGGGCTTAGAAGAGGAAACAATGATAAGGAAACACTGAAGGTCTTAAAGACAGACATGGAAAAAGAAAATGTACCGCGGTAAGTGCTAAAAGAAGTGTTGTGTCTTTGTCCAGAGCTATACACTTAGTGATGGGTTAACTGCAGAAATTTCCTGGAGACCTTTTTCCTGGAAGATGAGAGCATCTCTGTTCTGCTGAAAAATGAGAAAGTCCTTTCAAAATGCAGACACTGTGGGATGGCAAAAAAAAAAAAAAAAAAAGGCAGCATCTCATTCTATAAACACATTGAAAACAAAGGTAAGACTAGTGCACAGATTATCCTATACCTCAGTGGATCAGAAGTGTTACTGACAGAAGTCCAAACTGTTCTTGCCTATAAAAAACATGAGAAGGCCAATTGTGGACATTATTAGTAGTTATTTGTAACAATTAAGTGGGGCAGGTAAAAGAATGTGAGAATGGGAAGTGGTCATTAA